GCTGAATTCTCCCAGCTCTTGAACTGCTACTCCCTTGCCCACCAACTTCCACATGATCTTAATGTTTTTCACTTGCTGCTTCAAATGAGCAATGCCATAATTTGAGACTGCTAATTCAGTGAGCATCTCAGGCCACTGGATCAGGAGACAAAGTTTGCTGATAGAATGTGTCTTGCTTATGCAGGAATTGAAGGCATAGTACATTGTCCCTCTGAGAAAAGTTTTGCAAGTGAAAGCATTACAGTAGTTAGTGCTTCCTATTATCTAGTGACAAAACAGTGTTTCACCAGGGAGAAGTTTCTCTGGTGTTGGAATCTTAAGCAATCAAGTTTATTCTAGACAGCAAAGATCAACCTTGTTGAAATTTGTACACTGTTTGTAGGCCAGTCATTTTGGCTGTCATCTTGCCTTACTTTAAAAAAAAAAAAAAAAATTAAATTGGTTGCCTGTGTCTCTTAAGCCAGTGGAGAGAGTTTGGGCAATTGTTCCTATCCTAAACCAGGTCAGTAGGGTAAGTGGGAGGAAACCTGGAGCAGCAGTTTTGGTTAGATACCTCACTTTGTTTGGTGAACGCTAGGTGAGATGAATCCACATACAACATTGCCCATCAAAGGGGACATATAAAGAACAAGATCAGAATTAGTTTACCACCTTAAATGGTCTGATTTCTGGGCTTTTTCGGGTGCATTGGTTGTTCTGCATGAGGTGTTTGAATATATCACTTTTCAGAGGAGCTGGACATTGTAGGATATGGAACCTGAATGCTTTGTGACTACTTTTGTCTGAACTGTGCCAGTGTGGACACTTCATAAAACTATAGCGGTTTGGATAGTCAATGGACTGTTCTTAGCCATCTTTAGATATACCAGCCTGAGATAATTTTCTCACATCTCTAAAAGAGACCCCCTCTTGGACCCCAGAGTGTCCCCAGAATCCAGAGCAGCAGTAGTCAGGTAATGAGTGATGTGGCTAAAATGAAGTAGTTTAGTGAAAGAGATTTAATCTGAGTTCTGCTCAAAGTTTGGACATGTTTGTATTTGTGAGCTTAGATGAAGCCCATCACTAAACTGTTTCCAATCAGGAAATCTACAGAAGTCTGGAAGTTTATTGAAAGTACTTGGAAGAAACCCTCTCTGCTCCAATGGTTTCAGCAGCTGAGCTGTATCAAACTCTGCCTACTACAGATAAATGAGTATATGCCCGGAGCCCTATCTGAATTGCTCCTCATGCAGCAGGCTCCTTTCCTAGATAAAAAAAAAGAAAAGTACCCTGGTTAAACCATGATTAACAGGGAAAGATGCCTGTCAAAAGGAAGTGCTTGTCTCCACGGAAACCACAGTATTTTGGGTTAATTGATCTTTATTTCCTCAGGACTGACTGGGAGCCTCCAGACAAGAAGGTGGACACCAGAAAATACCGTGCAGAGCCCAGGAGCATTTATGACTATCAGCCAGGAAAGTCCTCGGTTCTGAACAATGAAAAGATGGTAATGTTTGTTTTATCCTAGTTTGTGGCTTTATCCTGTGATTGTTAAATACTCCCCAAGTGCTTGTCCAGTTCCATTCAGATAGATTCCTTATGCTTACATTGCAGTGCTCATGTGATGTATTTCCTGTATATTTTGTTTTGAAAACTGTTTTGCATAACTTCCTAACATTTTTGTTCTCTCTAAAGCAAGATCCAGGGGGACGGAGAGGCTTCTTTCCTTTTGGACGTGTTGTTTTCTATGTTAAGTATGGATCACTAACCCTAGTTTTTAATCTCTGTTTGACACTGTGACCTGTTCAGCAGCTGTTTTGCCAGCTGTACTTTTTCTAGGGCACAGCATTAGTTGATGCAGGAGGGTTGAAGGCATTATGCAACAAAGCAGGCTGGTTCAGTTTCTATGTTCCTCTGAAGCTTTAAACACCAAACGACTAATTTTTAGAGTGCCTGTAATGTGCGTCGGGGGATCTCTGTGAGGTGCATTAGGACATGGCCATCTCCCCCGGGCTGCTTTCTTCCTCAGCTGGATCTCACCACTTCTGTGGCAGGGGTGACAGAACTGAATGTGAGCTGGGTCCCCAGCTACGCCGGTGTGTAACCTGGAGTATTAAGTAAGCTGTTACCAATTTCAGCTTGAATTAGCAAGTAGTGCTGTGAATTGTGACAGTTAGGGGACATACAAAGGTCTCATTCTGCAGGCTTGGCTGAGAACACTTGGCAAGGGGCAGGGCAGAGAGGTGGTGCTAACCTCATCAGCCAGTCCTGCATAAATCACCACAGCTCACTTAAGGTGTCCTTCAGTGGTACGAGTGTGACACCATAAGTGCTAGAAAATACTGAATGAGGTTACTAGTGAATGGCCAGTTTGGTACATAAAGATATAATTGTTCTATACAGGCGTTCATTTGAAGGATTCAATTAAAAGTGCTAATTGCGTGCAAGATTCCAAATGTAAACTGGACTTTGTGCCTTAACAGCTCAGGCGTTGATCCATGCACGGAGTAGGTAAAGGAATGCCCCTGAAAAACCTGCCAAGGATTTTACACAAGAGTGAACAGCAATTTAAATCAATAGAAATGTAAGAATCGAGTCTGATCTGGGACCTGATGTTTCTCCTTAGTATTCTGGTGGGTTTTCTTTTTTTCTTCCAAGTGCAATCAAGGTCCATCACTTTTTGAAGATCCTGCAACCAACTTCTTCTCTTCACTCCTGTCCATTCATTGACTTGAACAAAGTTGGTCCTGATAGGAGCATGATCCTAGTGCCTGTTGAAATGGGCGATGGATGACTCTCTCTTGATCCTGCTAGGTGTTGGCTCAGTCTATTAGAGAAGTGCCAGTGAGGAGTGGTTTGAACATGGTATGACAATTCCATTCCTGCAGTCCATCCTGGAGCAAGATTTCTGCTGACTTACGTGGCAGTTTTGTCTCACGCTAAATGGCCAAGATTAAACCTTGTGGGAAAAGGCCTGCTTCATCTGTGTACTTAAGCCTTTGCGAAAGGTCTGTCATCACCAATGGCACTGTTTACATGCTCAGACTTCATCAGGTACTTAATGGAGCTGTTGAATTGGAGTCTAAAAGCCACAAGCAGGACCATCATCAGCATAATTAAGAAAAATTGTACAGAGCTCATCAAAGACAAGAAGAATGTGATAGCTGTGTTACTTCCAATGTTATTTTTTGAGCTTTAATTTCAAGCCATAGATCACAGAAGAAAGAAGGTCTTGAAATAGTGGCTTCATGATCTCCATCACTCTCATTAAATACAACAGTGATACAGTGGTTAGTGACTAGATCTTTCAAGGAGGCTGCAGGAGATTTGTGGATATCTCCTGGTAATCACACCCAGAACTGTGACTATCGGAATCCCAATCCAAAACCATTTCAGAGCAATGAAGAGCCTACTGTTGACATCAGTGGGCTTTTTTAAATGTAAAGGCAGCTATATAACAAGATGAGTACTTTTAGTTGGAGTCCAGTAAAGAAAAAAATTGAGGCATTGCTTCTGTTTTGCCTTTAAGGAATAGCTAAATCTTCTTCCAGGCCATTGGAGATCAAACATGGTGTAACCATTTATCTTTCAGACTGAAGCATTGCCCCTCTTTCAGCATCAATCCTGAGCTCTTGTCCTTGAGCTTTTTTTGTGATGCCTAATGGCTGTGGCAGAGTCTGCAACATTTAGCAAAGCCCAGAACTGTTGGGAGCTCCCCCCTGCCTCAGTAGACCCATCACAGGACCATTTTCATCCAGACACTTTGTGTTGGCCTTCTGTGCATGTGTGTGTCTCATCGCTTATTGTGATGGAGCACTTGAGATCACACTGGCATATCAGGCATAATGTATTTATATTTTTAATGCACTGAGATCAGTTATGTGTAAGACTAGGTACACTGAAATGCAAGAGTTAGCTAGATGTCTTTTGGGGAGTGGCACCTCATAACCCTCAGCAATGGACTTTATTCTCTTATCTCACAAGTAGTGTTTTTAAACAGCTACAACTATTTCAACTTTTTTTGTTTCATTAAAACAGATTGTATGAACAAAAGGGAATTTCCTTTTCAACTGTACTGTTTTCTGTCCTGTCTGATTTTTCATTCGTTGTAGTTTTGTCTGATTCTCTAACATTTGTTTGTGAAGAAACAAATAATACTGTCTCTCTATCCATCCCTTCAGAGATCTTTCAGGGATGTGTTCTCTCTGACTTGTGACTCCTTTGATTTAGAAAACCACCTTTCACTCTGTTTGCAGTGTATAGAACAGGGTTTCTCACATATTCATGTGCTGTTAAAGATGCAGTATTTGATTCAGGTCTCACCAAATGTCTTTTTTTTTTTTTTAACCAAATGAAGATTTAAAAAATTTTTTTCAAGTACATGCAGCTTTGTACTCAACGGAAGTGTCTTGACAGTAGGACTGAGGGACTGGTTGACTCCTAGCTCTTCCATTGAGTCTCCCTGTGACTCTGGGCAAGCTGCATAATCTTTCTCTGTGTGGGTCTCCTGATCTGTAAAAATGCAATTCATTCATATTCATGTTCCTCACAATGATGCCATTAGGCTTAACTGATGTTTACAAAGCAGTTCGTGGCCTTTGTGAGAGAGGTGCTATAGAATTCTAAATCATAAGGCTAAATATCTACATTTTAGAATGGAAACCATGGGCTCTGCATCTCTAACAGTCCCTTTCCGTGTATTCTTTGCATAATGTTATCCTTCTCTTTCTTCCATTCCCCTATCACCAACTCCTTTAGACTCGGAATATAAGCCCAGAAGAGATAGATTTAAAGAATGAACCTTGGTATAAATTCTTTTCGGAATTGGAGTTTGGGAAACCGGTAAGTTTGATAGTTGCGATGACCAATGAAGTCAACCTGCCTTTTTTTTTTTTTTTTTTCTTTCTTTTTTAAATGATTGTCACATCTCTTTGCTAGGCTCTAAACCTGGAACAGCTGCCTTACTCATTTAAAAATGTGATTGTTCATAGCGTCATCCTGGTACTGATATAAAGCAGCTGTTCTGTGACCACTTTAAGTATTTTGAAGCCATTTACAGACATTCCACACCTTCCAGCCATATGTATCAACAAGGCAATATTTTTTTCACGCACCATAGTTCAAACTGCATTTTTGTTGTTAATATTAGAAGTAATGCCCTGTTCTCATTATTGAAAGTCCTTATCCAAAACTCTTATTCTCCCTCTGCCTAATAAGATCTAGGACGGCTGATAGGTAGCTTTAAATCAAGGAGAATCACTCATGTATTCCTGGACTTCGCTTGTAAACTGTAGGTCAGTAATTTCCAGCTATCCATAAACAGATCATGACCCTGTTTCCTGCTTATTTTCTTATGTGTGTAGCTGCCCATTGCCTAAATGGGGTGCATCCGTCTGTGTTGAATAGCCCTTGCCATTCCCTGAAACCTAAGGAGTCTGAGAACAGTGTGCTTTTTTTTCAAATGGAGCTGTGTTGCTATGTGTGTGGGGAAAAAAAAAAAAAAAAAAAGCCTTGATTTCCCACTCTGGAGAAAGATGAAGCAAAGCTTAATTATTCAATAGGACAAAGGACATTTTGATGGAGGGAACACATCAGCAGTCATGGCTACTGGAAAAAATGTGACTTTAAAGCACTTTATGGCCTGGTTCTTACTGATTAAACACTATTAACTTCATTATCAAATACTGTTTAGTAAGCTACTCTTACTGCACCAGCAGGTCAGTATCAGCCTCTCGCATCTATTCATGTATAGTGCTTGTTTCTCCTTGAGGTCAGTTGTCAAATGCCCATGCACACCGTTTTTGAGTGCTGCTGAGATTTCCCTGCATGTACAACAAAACAGAAATACATTTTAAGGTTCAGCACTGGCTTCAAAGGCAACTGCACGTGGACACCAGAGAGTAGGTTTTCTTCAAATCTAGTCTTTGTTCTCACAGAAGCAACAAAATTTCTCTGCACAGAATGTAGCTGCCTGAGGTTGGGTGCCCAGTCTGACCACATTGTAGAAATAGTGTCCTTTTTGCTGAAAAACAAAACATGTACAGTGGCTGAGTAGTCCATTTAGTCATAGAAAACTATGTTTTATAGCTATGGACCTTCCATCCTAAGCTAAAGAAGGCGCTTCAACTGTGTTTGAGATGAGACCCCCCCTAATGTTTAGGCAGTAGAAGTCAGGTAAATCCCATCTCACTGAGGCTTTTAAGTGATGTCAGTATACGGATCTAACCCTTCACAAGTTGTCATGGTTTAAGATTTCCACAAAGCAAGAAGAAGCCTGCTTCTCTTTGCTGCTGTGTAATTAATAGCCATATGCTCTTGCAATGAATGAAGGTTTGTCATCTCTGTGATCCTTCCAGTTAGTGTAAGTTAATGGAAAATGTGTCGGAGAAAGGAGAACATTTATGCCCTTGGGCCTTTCTAGAAGTGAGGGTATATCCATCCCTTAGAAGTGTGTGTTTGTGCTTTTGGTCATGCAGCCTTGGCCTTACTTCAGAAGAGGGCATCTCGGGCTACACCAGTAATCCATGTCTCATTCAGCAGAGCATCTGTTCTGGTGACAAGTTCCCCACCTCGCTTGGGGCACTGTTGTTAAGGGCTGCTTTCTTATAGCTTGCCTTGAAATGATACCACATCTCAATTTGCTCTAGCTCCAAAGCCATGCAACTATGCGTCCTGATCAGCTATGCCAGCCCATGAATGTGGTACTATGTACATAGTGCTTTGGCATTATGTCAGGCACTTGAATTGAGGACGTCATCTCAGACTTTTATAGCTACCTGCTCTGGAACCTGACAGAAATTCAGCAAAGCTCCCTCAGAGCTTCGTCACCAGAGCCAAAAAAGCATGCTTTATGTAGTTTTGCTTACTCGGGTCAAAAGAGGACCAGATTTTTGTGACCAGCTAGTGGCTAAGCCCCAGAGCGTTTTAATTGACATTTACCAGTGCCTGGGATTTTCCAAGATTCTGTTTGTCCCAGCTTTTTTTTCCAGTGCTGGAGATAATGTGTACTTCTACAGGATGATTTCCTCCGGCTTTCTGACTTTATTTGCAGCTATGTGACGTGGGCAGGAAAATCCTTGGTAAAAGGGAGCACAGGATTCTTGTGAGCCTGTGGGTGCTGCTCTCCAAACATATCAGAATGACCAGGATGGGGCTTTCCCCGCTGAGGAAAGCACATGCACTTCCTAGGGCAGATGAAGTGACACTTTGCTGGACCAGCATGCTGGAACCTTTCTAGGCAGCTCCATGAAGAGGCGCGTGCCCTGCAGACAGGTAGATCAGTCTCTGCAGCGTGGATGCTTTTTCAGTGTGCTGCTCAGACTGAATCCCCACAGGCTCCTTCCTTCTTTCCTCCTGACATGTGGCTCCACAGCCCCATGGAGCCCATCCACAAAACTTGACGTTCAGTTAGTCTAGAACTCAGTTGTCTTCCATTGTGATTGCGGGATCACACACATGGGCACTTTCTCCCAGCCGTTCCTGAGACAGCACTAAGCAAGCTCTTTGCTATAAACAGAGAAGCAGGGAGGCTGGAAAAAGGGGTGCATGTCCTGCCTTCTCACCTCCTTCCCTCCAGTTCCTCCCTCCAAATCTCAAAACCTAACTCTTTGCAGCACCATCTGCCTACCTGCAGCTGCTGATCTGATGGATAAGAAACAGGTATTTACAGTGTTTGCAATCCACACGGTGGCTGTCCAAATGTAGAAGTGGGCTGGATTAAAACTACAGGTCCAGGCAGTCTAAAAACCTGAAGGAATTTGGACCAAGACCCAAATGCTGTAGCTCAGTCTCGCCTTTGGTAGACTGACACTGGGAGATGCCCTGTCAGTGAGTCAGAGACAGCCTAGTCACAGAAGTCACTATGGACACTTAGGATGATGCTAAGCTTGCCAGCCAACAAGAGGTTACTTTTGTTTGGAAACAGAGCAAATGTATTCTGATTTCACAAAGTAAGAACAAAGTCTCTTTGAGCATATCAGTGAGAGGTGTGTATGTGGTGAAATGAGGATATTAGCGTGGCATTATTTGGATAGGAGTGTCAGGGCAAACGTCTTTCACTTTAAATAATCCTCCTTGATATTTACACGTGCATCCAAACAGGAAAACCCTAGTTTGAAATTGGCGCCTTCACCTATAGGATGAATTTTAAATAGCTAGTTCCCAAACTTTCATGTGTCCCACTCTCTCCACCAACCCCCCCCCACAAACAAATCCCCAAACCAGTGAAATAAAAAATAACAACTCTGCATTCTCATTGCCCCACAATGCCACCACTGGAAATTCAGCCATTTGTTCACATGGTATGTATTCATAGTCTGGCGGGGGTGGGAAAGATTCTCCCTTTTCTTTATCAAAGGCCCTTGTTTTACCCTTTCCTTTTGAAAAGAAGAATGAGCAAAACAAATGCTTTTTATGACTGTGTGGTTTTTTTCCCTATTCTGTTTTGGTTTTGTGCTAAGAATGCTTTAACCACCAGCTGTGGGCTCCCTCTAGAGAGTCCAAAATCCCTTAGAGCACCTTGCAAAAATAGAAATTTCCTCAAACAGTACTGAAAACAGCCCCTCCCAGACTGCATGTATGCCCCTTTTTGCCTCTCATGATCTCTTGGTATTTGTGCTATAGCGGATTTATCCCTCTATCTTTCTCTCTTTCTCTGTTGTGTTTTTTTTTTTTTTAATTTCTTTTCAGTGTTGATGCAAATCCCCTATTGTATTCCCCCTCTGTTCTAATCCAGTTTCCATATTCTCTGTGATGTCTTTCCTTATCTTCATTTCCTCATTTCCTTCCTCTGCTTTCCATCAGCCTCCAAAAAAGATTTGGGATTATACTCCTGGAGATTGCTCTATCCTTACTAGAGAGGATAGAAAGGTAATTGTGTCTCACGTACATTGTACTAAGTATCTACCGCGTATGTATGTATGTGATTTTTTTTTTTTTTTTTTTTGTAGCATTGCTTGGGTTTTGTGTGCTTGTGAGTGATGTTTTTTAATTGGGTTTGAGCTCATTAGCCTAACAATTAAGTAGCTAGTAAATTGATTTAATAAGCAATTCTTAAAGCATAATCAGCCATAATTTAGAGTGGTGGTTTTGCTATCTTGACTTGCAATGATAATTATACTAACAGCATATTGCATATTGTTACAGTATCTTTTTTTTTTTTTTTTTACAGGTGGGTTTTATAACTTTATGGTTTGTAGAAATAGATTCTAGCAGGCCTGTGCATCTCTTAATTTTGAATGTTAAATGCCTAAAACTATTTCCTCTGTAATGATTGAAACATGATTAATTACCAGTGAATTTCTGTGTATTGTCCATACCATCTTTGTCTTTTTTCAATTAAAAAGGCTCGCTTTTTTTTTTCCAAAATTAACATTCCTTTGGTTTCCCCTAACCCTAAGCATTATTTTCCCATTCTTCTTCTCCTTCTTTAACCAGACTGATCTAGAAAAAGACCTCTACCTCTACCAGACTGAGTTAGAGGCAGATTTAGAAAAAATGGAGAAGCTTTATAAAGCGCCACATAAAAAGCCACAGAAGGTATTTCCTATTCTTTTCATGCTGCCAATCCCTGTTTCCAAACTCTCTGCTCTAATCTATTCACTGCTGGATGATTATTAAATGAGGTTGGGATAAATAATGGTTCTGACCGTTCTGACTGCATGGCTTGCTGTGTCGCTGTCAGAAATAATAGAATGTGATGCTCAGAATCCGGCTTGAAATCCATTTCAGATACAGTGATTTCCTCTCTCCCCTGTTCCCTTTCAGCTGCCCCCCACCCCTGTCCCCCTTTAGGGTTTTGAGTTCAGTGTCTGCAAAAAAACCCTCTCTATTTTTCACATGAATAGGCAGCAGCAATCAGCTTAAAATTCTTGGTTGGGTCACGTCATCATCTCGTGCCTTTCAACCGTGTTGCCATCTACGCTCCCTTCATACAAGCCCTGCTCTCTGCTAGGAGCTCACGCCTACCCAAGATTTGGATATTCCCAAGAGATTTTACACAATTTTCCTTACACTGCACCTTGCCATGGCCTTCTAGGGCAGGTCAGGTCAGCTGCTGCTGCTGTTTCGAGGGTCTGCAAGACCTAAACCATGAAATGATAGATTAATTTGGTAACACGCCATTTTTTCTATTTTTTTCTGTTGTTGATTTTTTTTTTTTTTTGAAGCTGCGGCATTTCACCAGGGCTAGAAAAAGCTGCTTTTCAAACCCAAGATTTGCTTTTTCTTCCTACACAGGAATCCTCAGATAGATTAGGGAACACCAAATACAGCATTTCTGCTAGAATTGCTTTAAATTTTTTAAATAATGTGCCTAGGAAGTGTTAGATGGATTTAAAGCAAGCGGATAAGAACTGGCTTTTGCTATTGAACCTGTGCAGCTGGCATTGCTTCTCTTAAGTAAGGAAACTGAACTGAAACGTTGCTTTTCTTGTTAGAGCTTTGATTTTTTTTTTTTTTGAATGCTGAGGAATGTATTGTGCTGCAGAAATGTAATGTACCTTTAAAGCAAAGGCGGGCAGTGACCGGTTAGGGGAAAAGCTTGGGGAAATAATTATGAGCATGTGTCTCCTGGTCATGGCCCAGCTGGTTATCTCTTCTTGCTTTTGGCTTTATTCACAATGACTCATTTGCAGACAAAAGAATAGGCGCTGCGAAAAGGCATCGGCTGTGCTAAAAACCTGTCACTGCCCTGAAGGAACTCAGGAAAATTGTCGCTTTTCTGCAAAGACATTGACAGCTTAAATTGCATTTAGACTTAAACCTCAATGTCTCCTAAAGGCTAATATTCAAGCAATAGATGGAAAATTACTTATGCAAGCCTTTTTCTTTCTCCTCACATCTAAGTGTGTATCAATGACTCCTTTGTTTGGACTTTTGCAGAATACAGCAGGTGTTACTCCTCTGGAAACTTCCACGGACCATTCTTCCTAGTAAGTTTTCCAATTGCTTTTTCTCTTTTACAATTGGAGGGCATGTTGGACAGGGTTTAGGGCGTTGGAAATGGTTTGGCTATATTTTTTGGTGATGGATATAGACAAACGCATGTACCATGAGAATTATACACGTGCTTTAGATGAGTTCAGGTACGATATCTGCTCTTCGATCTTGAATGATTTTTGAAGTGATTACATGAATGATTGCATTGTCTAGTTAAGACTTGCTGATTGTGCTAGACAGTGACTTTAAAAAAAAACCCAGACCTTTAACTCCATCTTGATGAAGTTTGCAAATTGACTGTAACTTCATGCAAGTAACTTTATTGCGTGGAATAAACAAAGATTGTTTCTGTTACGCATGTATGATAGATTGGCTCCTGTTAGATATTCCTAGTTATGCACACCATCAAAAGAATGCTGTTGATGGAAGGCAATAATTTTCCCGCTTCCAGGAAGGGAACAGTGGTAGCACTGACAATATTTCTCAAAGATCTAATGTGGCACTGCTTTTCTGGAGGAATACGTAATAAACAGTCTACTCTGAATGAGTTGTACATGGAGCTGGTTTGTTTTAAAAGAGGAATACAAAAAACCAGAAAAATCCAGAGCAAGATGCTGAGCTGTGCTGAGTTATTCGAGCCGTGGAGCCAGCTCCTACTGTGAACCTGCTGCTCCTTGTAATTGGACTGAGTGCTTAACGTTGTCCATAGGCACAGTGATCCCCTGTGTGGACGGTTTGTTAGGAAAGGCATGTTCTTCTCCAGATGCCCATTAATATCACGTGTGTTCACCGCCCCTCTGGGGCTGCCTTAGTGATCTCCTGTACTTCTTTCAACTCAGTTCCCTTCTGTCTGTGTTCATTCTGCTGGGAAACTTGGACACTGCTGCATTTTGTTGGTTGCTCCTGTGACTGTTTAGTTTTGGTAGGGAGAGAGCAATAAAATAAATGGAAATCTCAGAGATTAGCATAAAAGAATAGCTTATATTTGCCAAAGACTGGTAAGGTTTCTGCCCACGGCAGCACTGTCTGTGCACTTTCTGACACCACCCAAAGCATGCAGGAGTGCCAGCATCTGAGCCAGTGGAGGGGAAGCAACCTGGGTAGGCTGGGAATGGGACACAACAGCGAGGCCCAGTGGAGTTGCACATACTTCCCTGCCCTGCCTTTAGAGAGCAGGGAGAAAAGATACCTGGCGTTTACTGTCTTTTTTGCAGTGTTGCTCTTCCCTCCGTTCACCTGATTCTGATCATGCAGACTGCCTTGGCCTTCACAGTACTGCTTGCTGGCCCTAATGAGGGAGCAACCGGTAAAGTAAAGGGCCTCTGCCAAATGCCTCATCTTTCCTCCCCAGGTGTATTCCCAAAGGAGGATCATTTTAACCCTTTGTTTTTTAACAACTAGGCTAAAATGCTTTTGGCTCCCAGACGAGGAACCTCAGGGCAGTCATTATTCCTTGTAGCAACTAGCAGGGCTTCCTCAGGAACCTGACAAAGAGAGGCACTGGGATAACCCCCATAAGACACAACAGCTCTGTAGCTATGGGTCTGTTTGAGTATTGCCTAGGTTGAAAAAGTGACTGTATTCCCTTTCTCTTTCGTGGTGCTTTTCATGAGCTTTTACTCCAGAAAGTAGTTTATGGGACCACATATGACCTGGTTTTCCTTGTCTGGAAATTAAAATCTTTGTGATCGAGACATTGTGTAATTCCACCTCCATAGCCAGTCCTCTGATGTGTTTGAAAGCTTTCTCTTTACCCCATAGGTACAGTGTCTATCCAAAATAAACAGATGCATGCACAAATTTATCCACAACAAGCAGGCGTAACCACAAACATTTCCACACTCACATAAATTTGAATCACTCCTGGACATCAGGATGTAAACCAGTGTTCAAAATGTTTCCATGAATTGGCAAATGCCTTATTTTTTTCATTTTTTTCAAACTTTCCAGGAGTCATGCTTTGGCCCCAGAATAGCTTTGTGTGAGACTGCATCTTACTCTGAAGAGCCTGGTTGAGCACAAGAACTGGTGTCAGATGAGCTTAGCTTTTAGGAAAACTTTGTGTGCCTGATTGCTCAACAAGTCTTTTGTACATGTAAAGGCCTTTTGTACCATGGCATTGTCAGTTATTTTTTTTTAGAGAGAAAACAGTGAAATCTACAAATCAGATGTGGGGGCATACTTAATGTTTAGATTCATGACTGCGGAAACGGATTTGTAAGAAACGTCCAGTCTTTAAAGGCCTAAGAAATTAAAATTATACTCATTATAACAGCATTTTGTTTCTATATCTGCATGGTAGACCTGGAGTCCAGGATTTTTCTTTCCCTGTAGGGGAAGCCTGAGGCAAAGCTGAGCAGAACTATGCACATCTGGGAATTTCTTTGGCACTTAAAACAGTAGCATCTATAGCCCTGGACCATCTGCATGGTCCCTCACTGATGGGCAATTTCTTTTGCTCTGGGAATCTTGAACTATAGTGTTAACTGGGAGGCTGAAATGGTTGAGATGGACACCTGAGAAGCTGTGCTTTGTAACCAGGGGACAGGCATGGCTAGTGTTGAGGAGAGAGGACTGGGAGCTGGAAGATATTTGTGCTCCTTCCAGCTAGCCACTGAATTTCTTTGTGTCTGCAAAGAAATCATGCATCTGCTCTGTGACTCTCTTGCCTCATCTGTAAAATAAAGGAGGAGTGCTTTCCTGACACCTGTTTTCTGGGGGACTGAGCTGGGAGAGTTCCTTCAGGTGGAGAATGTAGTGCTAAACCTCGAACTTTATCGCAATGTATTCATAACCTCTTTATTCAGCACCAGTTCTTCATACACGGTCTATTCTGGGTTCACAAGTGTGCTTTTCTCTTACTTTGCATGAAGCTCTCAGCAAACAGAAGTGACCCACTGGTGTCCCTCCCTCTTTTTTGTGTTTTCCAGCTCCACATATTCACCCAACTACCATGCAGTGAAGAGGGAGTCAGAACCAGCACTGGGGGACTCTGCTGGCTTGGAGAATGAAAGGCAGATTTACAAGAGTGTGCTGGAAGGTGGAGATATCCCGTTCCAGGGGCTGAGTGGTCTCAAGCGACCTTCTAGCTCTGCTTCCACAAAAGGTAGGTGGTCAGAGCACTAACCTCTTCTCCGTTCTGCAAAGCGTGTCAAAAGCCAGGTGATACGGGGCAAACTACAGGGTTTAGAGTCCTATTCAAGCCAGCTGAGGTTTCCTCTGTCCTTCCTCTTTGCCATTCCCAGTTTTCCCTCCTTTCTTCTCTTAGTCCACTCTGGCCAATATTTTTCATGACCCCTTTATCTGATCCAGGTTCCTCTTCCCGACAGGGACCAGCTCCCTCCATCCAGCACCTCAGCCACACCCTACACCCTCATGTTCTTCCTCGAGGCTGCTCAGGCTGGCCTTGCTATCTATCCGCTCCCACTGCCTTGCCATGCTAGAGCCCTTCCCTGCCTTTTCTGCTCTTCCTGCTGCGGTATCTCAGCAGACCACACCATCTCTGCTGGCCTGGCTACCCTGGTGTACCCTAGCTGGCATCGTGTACTCCACAGTCTCCTGCCTGTGAGGGGTGTGCAGAGAATGCATGGGACACTGTGAACCAGCAGTGCCCTGCAGGCTTTGAGAGAGCGAGGCAGCAGAGACTGCTGCATCTCCTCCCCTTTCCTCCCCCTGTCGTGCGCTCTCTAGAAGATTAGGACAAGGAAGAGCCTGACTTCCATCAGGGAGTTGTATTGGGGAATGTATCTCTGAGCCAACTTCAACCTAAAAATGGCTTGAGATGGGGAGAGGACTGGGGAAGGAATGTGTCTGGTTTCTGAACTGCTCTCCCTAAAAATAGTACATCACACCAAAAAGGTCTCTCTCTGTCTCCATCTTCCAGCTGTTTTTCAGCATTATGTCAGGCCTGTAGGGCAGGGAGTCAAACTGGATCTGAACAAAAAAATCTGTTCAAACAGTTATTGTTCCCCAAACTGCAATTGAACCTGAATGGTTATTTTGACATTTGAGTTTGAACTCAAATTGGAAACAGACCTAAAAACTGCAGTCTAAGCTGAACCCAGACTGGATCTGACTTTAAAAAAAAAATAATGTCCTGATCTGACTCCTTGATTTTTAAAGCAAACATGGTCAACCACATTGTCTGAAGGACACTCAGCTTATTCCTAGTATGGGGAATCTCTAAGCAGGCAGCTCTTGGGCAAGGCCAGCTGATGCGGCCTGCTTGTGCTAGCACAGTCAGCCACTGATTGTCTTCTCCTTCCCAGGAATAAACTGTTTGGCAAACACTGTGGTGAGACCATAGTAGGTGTGATTACAGGCTTGGTATTAAGCCATTTTTGCAATTTTAGTGCCTGTGCATTCTTGCTGACACCCTGATCCTGCCCAGAGTTCAGCTGCCCTTTTCCATGGTGCCGCAGTTTCCCTGGAAGCTGATGATGCTCAGCACTTTTTAGGAGGGTACCTTCAAAGTGCTCCAGATCTGCTTCTGGCCAAGCCTCTCATTTTAGAGATGTTAGCAGCACTTCATCTACTCCTGTAAGCGCGGCTTGTTGTACAGTTCCTGCTTTATGTTTTGGAACTTTGTTCCTTTAAAGTTCATTTTATGAAATCCAAGCATGTTCTTTCTCCTTTTTCAATAGCTTTCTAGCACTTAAGCTAACAGGTTGTATTTATTTTATTCTGCATGCTTACCAGTGGATCGTAAAGGTGGGAATGCTCATATGACTGCACCCTCTTCAGTTAATAGCCGAACCTTTAACGCTAGTCATACCGGTATGTTAGGTCACGCATGTAAACATAAGAAGCCCTTATCAGCTGCAAAAGCCTGCATTACTGAAATCCTCCCTTCTAAATTCAAACCCAAACTAGCAGCTCCAGCTGCTCTTGTGCAGGACAAGAAGGGTATCTTGCTGTCTCATGAGAAAGCTCAAAGCTGCGAAAACCTTCGTAGCTCCATTGCCTTGTTCGATAATAAAAAAGCTTTCATGGTAGACATAGGGGAAAGCATAGAAAACATGTTGATGAAGTCGAAGCAGGAGTATGCCATCAAATCTGGCAGTACCATGAGCCTGCAGGAGTATGGCACCAACTCTAGGAAAGGCTACCTGTTCCCTGCCTCCAGGAAGAGTGGGATGGAGTTTACAATGCTGTATAAAGACATGCACCAGATCAACCGGTCCAGAATCCATTTGGGCACAGTCTCCTCCTGCAGCGTGAGGGATATTGCATCTCAGTTTGAGAATGAAGCAAAGGACAGGATGGAGCACAGCCTTAGTCGAGAGGATTCAGAGCAGATCCCCAAACACACCGTTTCCTCCCGTATCAGTGCCTTTGAGCAGCTGATCCAGAGATCCCGATCCATGCCCTCACTTGACTTTTCCATTGGACAAACAAAATTCACCACTTCTCTCCAGTCTAAAACTTGTCTGAGTTCTGCCTACTCTGCAGAGTTTCTTCTGGATTTGCCGAAAGCACACCAAGAAGAGAAGGATGCTGCCAGCTGGGCAGATAAATCCTCTCACTCCTGTAGCAACGTGGAGGACACGGCTTCAGATGCTAGTGATGCCATCCCTATGGACACACTTTCAGCTTGCACGGATGAGGTAGATCTCCTGTCAAATGCATCCAATGACAGCGGCAGCAGCAGCAGCAACCTCAATGGGCCTCAGAAGCATAAAATCAACAGATGCAAAGGCGCATGCCCAGCTTCCTACACCAGGTTCACTACCATCCGAAGACATGAGCAGCAGCAGGCCTCCAGGAACCCTGACTCCAAAGGGGATGTCTATGGGGACAGACACATGTTCCCCAGAAACGTCTACCTAATGAGCCCGCTTCCCTTCCGATTGAAAAAGCCCTTCCAACACAAGTCCTGCAGGACTGCACCCCCAGACTGCCCGGGAAGCCCGGCAGTGCCCAGCCCTGAGAACCCAGACGACCCCATACAGCTGCAGGGGAGCGTAGGAGACAAGAGTCACCACTCCCAGCACCAACTGTGCTCCAGAAGCAGGCCTCTAGCCCCCAGGCGCCTGTCTTCCTTTGACATTGTGGAGAGGCTTAGCTACTTCCCCACCATGGGATCTAGCCGAGATGGCTTCATGGGCCGGGCTGGCACTCCTGACTCCTTAAACAATGGAAACCTTGTTCCATATGCTCTCTGTCACAGCCTGGACACAAACAACAACCCGCAAAGTGAACTTGGGACGTACCTAGGAGGTGGCTTTTTGTGTTCTTTACCAGTGTCCCTTCATCTGTCTTCTTGCTTTCCTCTCTCCTCCCCTTCTCTTCCACAACCCTTGCATTTTTACTCCCCACCTTTGCATCCCCTGACTCTCTCTGTTTTTTCCCCATAGTGTGTCTAATGTCCTTTGCGTGTCTTGCTGAGCATTTTTGTTCAGGACTTGTTAACAGCTGCACTTCTGAGAAACGATTTCTGCTGCCTTTCTAATCACATCAGGTTCAGTTTGTCTCTCAAGGAACTCCAGGGATGCAAGAATCTCAACATGAGATATTTCTAGTCCTGTATCATTTGCACACATGGGAATATAAACCAAACCCAGATTATTTGCTTTAAGGAGCAGTTTCTCAAGGTCTAGTTGTGTGTGTGTGTGCGTGTGTGTGTATATATTAAACTTTTCTCAACAGTAAAATGCCAAATCATACTTTGATGGCAGCAAATCTTTTCTTCACAAAGTCCTTCTATGTCTTTACTCTTTCCTGTACCGTTATTTTCTCCCTGTTTTTGGATCTTTGTTCACAAGTACAGCCCAAAAGGGAAAAAAATTAAAATGGATAAATTGTCGGCATCTGATTGGCAATTTGGTCAATGGCAATTGAGAATCCTTGCTGTCATAATGGAAACAAATTGTTTAAAAATATCTATTTTTTTTCCTTTCTGGTTATGCTAGATAAATCCATCTGTATTTTAACTTCCTTATGTTGTTTCGAAGTAGATTCAGAATCACCAAGGCATTTTGTACCAGTTGATTACATGGAAACTCCAGAAGAAATTATCCGCAGACGGCATGACGATAAAGAGGTAATGCCATCCTTTATGGCCTAATGACAGTTCTGGCAGCTCCACGTACAAGAAATACAGCATTCAGCTTTATATAAGGACAACTTGTATGTCCATGGCTATGTACATTGGAAGATAGAGCAACAAACTGGAGCTACTATGTTTTAATTCTACATCTGCCACTGACTTTATGTAGTAGTCCAGTTTAGCTTTTGTTTAAAATTAATCTGATAGTTCTTATTAATTACATAAAATTATATATGGGGGCTTTAAAGAATGTAAAAAGGTTGGAGATGTATGCGAGATGCAGTACAACACCCTGGTAATCGCAGATACAGATGAAATGGTTAATCTATAACTGAGTTAAGGTTTTATTGTTCTCCAAGCAAGCCACTTGAGTCAGTATTAATCAAACTGGTGAGAACAGTATTTTTCTTGGGGGGAGTCCCCAGGTTTTGAACAGCAAATGTAAGATATTTTAAGCTATCAGAAAGTGTGAAGTTTCCCTCCAGTGCAAACTAGAATTCTTTATGGTGTCTCAAGTTGTTGACAACAGAATGTAGCAGTCCTTTTCAGAATGGCTGGGCAACACTGGGACAAACCAAAATAATAGGAAAGCCACGTAGGCTTCTCAGCACTGACTGTATTCAAGCTGAGACAAAGAAGTTATAAAGTGATTGCTTTCCAGGAAGCTGTTAATTTTCACTGCCTGGGGGCGGGGGGGGGAAGTTATATTTTAGTGTTAGCTTTCTGAGTTCAAATAATGTTTATGTAAGCTTTGAAATATGGTAAAACCTGCTCTTAATTCCCATGTGAAAAAATATATTTTTGCTGTCTTCCTCTGTGAAACAGTAACCCCCCTACTTCCAAAATCCAGCACAAAAACTCATGTAAGAGCAAAACTCTGAATTCACTAAGACCTGCTGGTTTCAAATGAGTTAGCACAGAGCTGAACTCTTCAGCCTACAGTCAGCTCCAAAAGGTGGAAGAATCCTTCTGCCCACGTACCCAAGAATGCATGTTTCCATTAGTGTGCCAGAGGCTTCAGAAGTCCAAAATAATTATTTGGGCTTTATTTACTTTATTTTATGAAGTGTATTACATGAGCCCAAAGGAAGTATGGGACAACCTGATACCTGAAGGTGGTTAGGCACTCTCCCAAGCTTCTTGCAAAGCTCAGGTGGGTGCTGCCTCAGAACTTACCTGTGGGACTGATTCAGGTCTCTTGGTAGTCAATGAGAGAAACTCCTTGTTGGTTGAAGGAGGTTTGGATCAGCCCTCTGCATTATCAGCCATCTTCTTAGAAGCTCCCAGGACTTGGCCAAAACTTAGAAAAACTCCTCATTGACTTCCATCAGCTTTGGATCAGATCCTCTGTATGAGCTGGATTTCAGTTATGCCATAATGGTGATGTACTTTCTGTGCTTGCAAAACAAAAGGGTATTGTGTAGTTGGTAGAATCGGTATTTTCTGTTGAACTGTAAAATCCCAGCTATTTGCTGGGACCTCAGAAATTTTATTTGTCACATTTATGGCAGCTTTTGAATACCTTTAACTAGATGATTTACTGCCCATTTTATGCAATTTTATGGCAGAAACTTTTAGAGGACCAGAGACGGCTTAAACGTGAGCAAGAAGAAGCTGATATTGCAGCTAGAAGGCACACAGGGGTTATTCCAACGCACCATCAGTTTATCACTAATGAGCGATTTGGGGACCTCCTAAATGTAGACGATACAGCAAAGAGGAAATCTGGGTCAGAGGTCTGTTTTAGTTACCTCAGTCTGCTGCTTGACCCAAAGCAATATTTGCCTCTCACAATGTTGTGCTTTAGGCCGACATTAGCTCTTCAGAGAATGTCGTTTGTTTTTTTTTCCCACCTTCCCCTTTCCCATTCTGGCTTCATTTAGATCTGCTTTGACTCTTGTGCCTGGTAAATTAATTGATATCTCTATACCAAGCTGCATATGTTAAAGCATGCCTGCTGAGAATTGCTGGTGCACACCTGTGATGCATGCCTTTAAATATCAGCTACTTTTAGTGAATCAAAGGCATTCTACATCTTCTGCATCATATTGCTACATTGTCTTCTTGTCTGTGCCCTATGCTTAGAAACTTCATGTCTTGTTGATCCTGGCCATGTGACTGTCTCATAGTTTTTTTTAGAAAAGGATTGTTTCTTCTCCTCTTGAAAGATGCTTAACGTCCTTTAGAAACAATTGGAAAAAGTCTCAGCATGTTTCACTGCGTACGACCAGGTCGGTCTTTCTGAAAGAGACAAAGGAGGAGGTTGACGGTTCTCCCATGAGTCCAAGGCACTTTCCTGAGGGCTGGATGCTAGTCCAGGTGTCCTGGCCAAATGCCTTTTCCTGCCTTAGGGATTGTTGCCGGGGCTCTGGACAGCAGCTGTTTCCCCAGAGGTGCTGCACTGCGGCGGTGAGCGAGTTGGTCACCGTGTGGATGGAGTGCACTTGCCTGCCCTTTATGCAGTTTCAAATGGTCCGGTGCCACATGAATATGACTTCTTATTTTATGCTCTATTACCAAAATTACTTTAAAATTGTCTGAATATTTTGTGGCCATTAGAAAATCAGCCAAGTAAATCAAGCTTTAAAGCCTAGGCCTGCTGTCAATGTCCTCTTTGGCTTTAGAGCCATGAAGACATTTGTTTAGACACATGCTTAATGTATTTGTGCTTCCTCTTCACCTTTGTCTCTTTCCTACCAATTTATACAGAGTACGTGGGTCACATTGCAGGATTCAGCAGTGCCAGGTGATAATAAGAGCCACATCAGATAACATCCTACTGTTTTTTTTCCCAGCTAGTAAATTTTGCTTTTCCATTCACATGTCAAAGGAAATTGGGTCCCAGAGCCCCAGTAACTGTAGTTACTGGGGCAGCTTTCATTCAACAGGGTTTGTCACATTTAAAAGTTTACTGCTGTTAAATCCATTTTCTGTAGAGCTCTTAATTACTGTTATACCAGAAGTTGGCATTTTTTGCCCTGGTGGGAGACCCCCATCCAGCATATTTGGACTGTAGTACCAGTTGCACACAAGCTTGTAGCAGAACACCTGCATTCAATTTCTTCCCCAGACTAATGTTAGCTGTAGAAGAGTTTGGGTGCTTTTCCTCAGAAGAGGATTGAAAACCTAATTATTATTCTAATGTGTTGATTTTTTTGATCTCTAGATGAGACCTGCTAGAGCCAAGTTTGACTTTAAAGCGCAGACGCTAAAGTGAGTACAGCTTGTTACTACTGCCTTGAGTGTTCTTCCTCTGCTTTTTCCCCTAGGATGCAGCTTTTATGAAGCGTCATGCAATAGCATTCATGTTTTGGGAGCATTTTTCCAGCTGCTCAAAGCAAAGGTGTCCATAGTAAAGCAGGGAAAAGTAATATGAATCTTGCAGGTCATAGCCTCTAAAGGACCTTTAGGAAAATGTCTTCTTTCTCGGTGCATCTGTATCCCATGTGATTTTTTTAGGGCAAACCCACATTCTTTACTGGAACAAGGGAGTGCTCTGCTCTGAGGGTGGGTGGAGCCATAGGAGAGTGCTCTGGCTGATGTTCATCCTCGCGCCTTGTAAGCAGGACTGCTCGGTGACACCTTTTGGCCGCAGCTCTGTCACTGCCCTCGTGCTGGAGACAGAAGGGATTCCCCTGCGTGACATCCCTGGTTGTGCTCTGATTTAGGAGCTGGAAGAACTGTGTTAGTCAGTAGCTTACTGTGTAAAGCTGCAATACAGATGGTCAGAAGAACGTAGATAGGCAGAACAGCAGCATCCTTTTCACTGTGCTAAGCATAGCCTGAAGTCAGGAAGGGACTTAAACAGATGCCTAGCTTTAAGCATGTAGGTGGGCCCTTGACTCAGGATTTTCCTGATTCAGGACCTATAAGGGCACAGAGTGGTCACTGCTCCCCTGGCATCTGTGGATACACTAGTGGATGTTTCTGGTGGCATTGTTGTACCTCTGAGTCCTATCGAGTGAATCACAGAGCACTACTTTTTCCTTTTGGGGAACACTGCTGTGAAGAGAAGACCTGGAAGGCCTTCCCCTCTGCATGAGCCTGGAGAAGCTCTCATTTTAACATTGCTAGGGAGGGAAGAAGGAGGAACAGAATTCAGCGAAGGACCTGCTGTTTTTCTTCTCAGGTGCTAATGTCCTGGGAATATTTTGTTATATGTTCAATACGTGATGATTTGTAATGATTTACACAGCATCTCCTCAGCACCTGTAATAAAACTGAGGCAGACGTAAAGTGTAACTATTGTGTGCCTCAAGCGGAACATACCAGGATGCCAGACAAAAGTAAAGGAGAGCTTGTGAAAATCATGTTAGGAAAGGCTGGATTGGTCATTTTCCTGTGAGGATCCAAGTAGTAGTTTTATCATGAGCCTAGTACAAGCTGCCCACAGTGGGAGTTCCTCAAGCTTCAGACACTCATCATTTTAGCACTGAAGACTGTAGATTGAAATCCCAATTGTTAGCCCAGGTGAGGTCAGTGGATGCACAACCACAGGCTGACCAGAAGTGTAATCATTACAGGATCAACGCTGGCATGTGAGGGGGTTCATCTAATCAGCAAACTAGCTTCCATTAAAATCATGTGTCTGTTTGGAAGGCACTTGCAACATGACCTGTTTCAAAACAGGAATTGAGTGCTGCTCACCATATCCAACATGGAAAGCAGCCAGTGGCATCTTTTGCTTGAGCTTGACCCCATTGCTCTCGGGGGTGTGTGGTTTTTAGGGCCCTCATAGGCAGCTTTTTAGACAGGATGCCCAAAGAGCAAGAGAGTCCCTGCACATCATGATATGAACAGAGTATTTCTCAACATGTAGCTTTCACTTTGGGTGGAGCATGATGGAGCATGATTTGTATCAACAGGGCTAATGCAGACCTTGGAACCTAGCGATTGTTGGACAGAAAAAAAACATGTATGTTCTCCAGTGAAGTTCTGACAGAGTGCTTGTGTTGTTAACAGGGAACTTCCTCTGCAAAAAGGAGATATTGTTTACATTTACAAGCAGATTGACCAGAACTGGTATGAAGGTGAACACCATGGCAGAGTTGGCATCTTCCCACGATCGTACATAGAGGTAGCTGCTTTTCTGGCAGGCTTTCTCTTTGCCCACTCCCTTTCTGCCAGTGACCAGTTTATGGGCTTTTTGTATGTGACTCATCTGATTCTGTTTGTTCATTCTAGCTCCTCCCACCAGCTGAGAAAGCTCATCCCAAAAAGCCATCACCATTGCAAGTATTGGAATATGGAGATGCTATTGCTAAGTTCAACTTCAATGGGGATACCCAAGTGGAAATGTCCTTCAGAAAGGTAGGACCTTTGTTGTGCTGATGAATTGAATCCAGACAAATGCTGAAGTGTTTTAACACCAGTATCTTGCAATTTCCAAATAAAGGCTCCAATAAGATGAACTCCATATTGGGGAAGGATTCCTTCTCATCACCCATGTTTTTACTCCATAGTCATTGTGTAGTGCATTGCAGTGAGAGTGGTGTAGGTAGGTTGAATCAAGAAGTGCCAATTGCTTCCTTAGGGCTAGCTGAGAGGATACTTTGAGCACAAGTGCTGGCAGCCTGGCTCTGTGTTGTGGTTTAGCCCCAGCCAGCAACTAAGCACCACGTAGCCGCTCACTCGCTCCCCCTAACCTGATGGGATGGGGGAGAGAATCAGAGGAGTAAGAGTGAG